TGTTGCTCCTTCCCATTCATTTCCCTAAGCATGAAGGAATGCTGACATAATATATGCTATAATGTTAAATCTTTTGATTATTCTAATGAAATCATTGTTGTCATTAATTTTTTCCTTTTTTTTTCTGGTGGAGAGGAGTTGTTGACTGAACATGCTATTGCTTGGAATTCCCGTAAAATTCTTAACCTTGCTGATTAAATGTTATCTAAAAGATTTGCAAAGGTCATTTGCATTCGTAGCACAGTGACAGTTTGCTTGACTCAACTCTGGTATCATTAGTTAAAAATGATTTGAACATGTGTGAATGAGTATTATTTTAATAACAGTTAAATAATATTTTTTATAATATTAGAATCATGCATTTAATGCTTGTTATTATAATTATGTTAATTATTAATTTTTAACTTTTTCCCCATTATGCTGGGAATGTAGACGAAATTGTTTATGTTTTGTCATGAAACATTTTTCTTGATATAATTACAAAAATCAGTGGAAGCATCACATGGTATTTATTTTTATATATTTATTTTATAATGCACAGGTAAAAAAGGACCTGAAACAGCATTGTCAAGTTTTCAATGCATTGGCTAGAGAACTTACAGTAGATGTTGAATCCTGTAATCTTGATGTTTGGACTTCAAAAGTCAGGGATCATGCGAAACGTATTTATGGGAAATTAATCATTTGAGTCTTGATTTGTGCTAAGATTTTTGGTCCTAATTTGCCATGTAGAGTTTTAATGTTTTTTAGTTGAAGAATTTAAACTTACGTCCCATCTGCAAAACCTGTTGATTGATGAGCACTACCCTGTTAATTTTCAGAACTTGACAGGAAATTTTCATCTGAAGATGGGGCTGCTATTCAGAAATCATTTGAACTTTATCAGAAGATTGAATATATGGCCTCTTCTATAAACCAGAGATTGAAAAATATCAATCGACTAGCAGGTCAGTGTATTTCCTTATTCATTATATGCCTTTTGGTCATCAATATGTGCATTTAGTCATGCTTCACTATTCCATCTTTATTGATTAAGATGCCTACCAAAAGACCAACCCCTAACGTCCTTGCTCGTGGGAGGTGGGCAACAGTTAAGTAGGGGAGTGCCTGTCAGGTTGAGGTACATTAGTATTCAGGTCCTGTGACTGCTACAGTAGCTGCGAAGGCGCTGACAGGAACTCTGAACAAGCTGGCAAATAGGGGCTCTGGCAAATCTGTAAGTGGATGGGGTGTGACTGCAGAAACAGACACAGTTAATAACAATGCAATATGATTGCTTGCCAGAAGGAGGACCACACCTTGGATGATACTATTATGCTCTGTAAGCTTGAAGGCCTAGCTGAACTTGGATGAGATGAAAAAGAACTAATTTATTATTTAATGCTTACATCAGACCTGGGGAAAATGACGATGACTGAACTAGTAAATTGCTGGAGCAAGACAGTGAAGGCCTATGTGACTATGGCATGATAAGGACAGATGATTAATATTTTACTGACATAATTTGCCTTTCCTCTCCTGTTTGTTACAATTGTATTTTCCCTAGATACCTCAAAACAATGTCATCGCTTAGGCAAAAAGATCAGTGAAGAAAAGTCAGACCTTGCAAGGCTTATTTCATAGTACAATGGTCTTGCTACCACAGATTGTAAAGTGGAAATTGCAGATGCCCTTGACAACAACTTTCTGTGGGCACTACATGATCAGACTGGTGGTAAATAAATTACAATGCAGTGTATATATTTTATATTTTCATATATTCATATATGAAAATATATGAATATATATTTTCATGTTTGTATGACTGTATTGTGAAAACTTGGGAAAAGAAAGAACACGAAATGCATGATTTTGGTTTAAACTGCAAACAACCCCAAAATGATTTTTAATGAGTCCCATTTGATTTGAAGATGATGATTAGCATGTGGTGATACAAGGTACAAAGAAGTTGTTGTCCTATAGCCCCAGGCTAGTGGATTTTGCTGTTGGGTTATTGGATTTTACCCACAACTTGCCTGAAGGGAAGTGAAAGTTTTTAGGGAGATTTTTTTGGGGGAAACTCGGGCAAGCTGGAAAATTGAACCTCTCTGTACCCTGTAATAACACTTTTACGCTGTGATAAATCATGACTTGCTTTGCAATCGTGCACGATTTAAGGATGCCATATTTGGATATCAGTTTTAACAAACTAATGTCTTCATTAGATTTTGGATGTCTTTCTTTTTTATTTTCTATTTTTTTTATTTTTATTTTTTTATTTTTTAGAAATGCCTCTTCGTGCTAAGAAACAAGTTGTGGAGAAATATCTGGAGGGCAGAAGGTTGACAGAGGAGAAGGTCCTTTTGGAAAAAGAGATGACTGGATTTTTGAAGTTCTACAAGGACACTGTTATTCCAGAAATCTTATCAACAATTGAAAGTCTGAAAGCAGTTTTGTCAGGTATGCGAACAGCATTTCCATTTTGGTGCAAAATAATGAATGTTGCATGTTATTAAATCAATGTACTCTTCAATTTTTAGAATGTAATGAAGATTGTTCATTGGACGAGGCAAGTGGGCCAGTTTCCTCCTCTGAAGGTAGCTCGGTAGGTGTGCCTCTGACATTACCTTTGATTCTTCTCTCCCAACGTTAGATCAACCTTTAGTTAATCTCTGCCAGGTTTTTGTTCCAGCCAAGCTAGTGGTCTGCAAGGGCAATCACGCAAACGTACATGCACACGTTTCCGTCCATATTCATATAAGCATCAGGAGGATTTTCAAATGAAATGAATCACATGCTAAAAATTGGTATTCATATTCTCTCTACCTTAAATAGTCCATTTTACAGTTACATGCTTGGTTGCCAAGCCTTTGAATGGGAGTGAGGCTAAGGGTGACCTTGTTATGATACAGACGTTGCTGCTTTTCAGATGTAAATTACTTTGTTATCATGCTAAATAGCTGCTGGTCTCTATCACAGCAAGGTCACCTTCAGCCTCACTTCAAATCAAAGGCTTGGCAACCAAGCACAGAACTGTAAAATGGCCTATTAGCTTCTCCGTTTGTGGAACGTTTTCAAGATATTGCATCCCTTAATACCAGCACGTTTGGCAATTTAACAATTGTAGACATTTAGAAATTTATATTAGGTAACGTAAAGTCTACGTTCGAGCCAAGATGCTCATCAGGCCGAAGCTTATCCCGGTTAATTATAGTGTACACCGAGATGTACCCAAATAGTTATCTTTTGAAACGATATGACTTCCTTCGAATTCCTTAACCTCGCACATTTTCTGTCTGTAAGTGATTCTATATGGTGGTACTACTAAACCGTAATATCAGATTACCAAAGAGTTAAGGTGGTATTTGGGAGACGTCATTTTCTTTTTTAGTAAATGCAAGTAATGGCATAGAAAAAACGTCTTTTTTATTAAGGTGATAATTGTCAGTAAATAGGTATTCTAGTTGATGATGAACGTCATGTTTTGTAACTATTTTTTAATTAGTGTTTACGTTTGTAAATGGCGTACTTTGCATAATAAATGAAATATCATAAAGAAAAAACGAAACATCAGCATTTTAGAGTAGGGTCGACGCAGGGCTAGTAAATTAAATTTATTGCCTTTGCATTATCGTAGACAAATTAATGATGTATTTTTTTTTTTGTTTTTTGTTTTTAAGTGTTTTAAGAATATAAATAAGTTCAATGTCTTAGATTACGTATCGTTTCGTTCTTGTATTAAACAGCTGAGAAACGTTGATCATTGAAGGCTTGATGTCCCTTCCACCAGGACTGACGCTTTTAAGAATTCTTTTTTTATTCGGATTTGGTACCTGTGGAATGAACTACCTATTAGTATAAGAGTCAGATACCATGTCAATTTTTCGCAAGAAATAGCGTTTTATTATGATAAGTTTAGAATAGAGTATGAACTTTGAGGTATAGTCGGAGTTAGTGGTAAATAAGATTGATATAGATTTTTTAATGTTATGTTGTTATAATAGGTGGCTTATTTTTAAGGAGTCTTGTATTCTGTATTAAGCCTACCTCAGATTGATCAATCGATTGATGCAACTGTCATTTGTTTGTCATTATGAAACTTGATTAAATTAAAGTTAAATTAAAGCAAATTTACGCCTACAAACACGAAATGAACTGGACAAAAGTGCGGAAATGATAGTTTGACTGCGCCCTCAAGGGTTTACAGATACAACGATGAGAAAAACAATACAAATTCTGACAATTTATTACGTATTTCATGCAGTCTCGTACCAAAAATTTGCTCGACAGAAAAACTTTGAAACTCAAATTGGCTCATAAATCTAAGATTAAATACATTTAAAGGATCTTCTGGTTTTATTTCCTTCGTGACAGTGTCCATTAATCCTGCTATTTCAAAACACTTCCTTGTCACATCAGGTTTGTTGCGGCTTACTAGCGTTGTGTTATTTTACCGTAAAATTTCGGACACTTAAAAATTTCGGACAATTATTATCAGACTCTTTTTTTGCTCGAAATCAAAGCCGTCAGAAATTTTTTGTAAGTTATTTACCCATCTGTTTAACTGTCTTTTTATCTGTCTTTCTGTCCGTCTGTCGGTCTATCTAGTGTCTGTTCGTCTGTCGGTCTATCTAGTGTCTGTCCGTCTTTCGGTCTGTCTACTTCTTTGCCTGTCTGTCTGTCTGCGTATCTGCCTGTGTCTGTCTATCTCTTTATCTGTGTCTAAGGCTATCTGTCTGTAATTCCATCTCCCTGTCTGTCGTTCTATCTGTGCATGTATGCCAAAATGCCACTCTGTCTATCTGTGCGTGCGTGTCTATATTTCTGTCCTACTGTTTGTCTGTCCAGCCTTCCATATGCCTTTCTGTCTGTAAGTCTATCTGCATATTTGTCTGCCAGTATGTCTATTTAACTGACTTAGGGCTAGAGGTTGGGTAGGGTTAGGGGTAGGGTTTTTTAGGGTTGGGGTTAGGGTTAGGGTTTTAGGGTCAGGGGTATAAATCTATTTATACCCCTACAGAAGTGTAAGTCGATGCGCTCTATTCGATGAAAGGATCGAAGTTTTGATTTGTTTCATGAGTCAGCATTTTTTGGTCGAAAAACCATGATAAAACGCCGTATGAATGACTTCTTTGTTTTCTTTCTTGAAACAAACTTTTTATATGTTAAGGATCATAACCCAAAAAAACCCTAACCTAATAGCGAATGTAAAAAGTTCGATTTTCCTCCATTTGAATTTTCAATGAGGACGGCTCATATCCTGAACATTTGAATCGTTTCCCTTTGAGTGCCTGACAACACTTGAGATGGACAAAAACGTATCGCGTGGTTATTTATTAGTAACCTTTACTAATAAAACTGACTCGAAAAAATACAGAAGCTAGAACAGATTATAACAATTATTGTACTTGCTCTCAGAAGAAAGTTGGCCGGTGTAATTGAGTAAAGCTCTACAAGTCGATACAGAAGTACGAGTCCATTGCAACTGATACATGTCATGGGTACAAACCTCGGGCATAATCCTCGAATGTACCGCCATCAAGCCAAAACTTTTTGGGCAGAATACTATTAGCTAATTTGTTACATGCGGGTTTTTACTGTAACTGTTGAGTGGAGTTTGCTATAATTTGACCGCGTGGCCTATTCTACATTGCAAAATTGGGAAGATGGAAAAATTTAAAATTACCAAGGATCACAATAATATTCCCGAAAAAAGCCGTTCTATATATATATATGTATATAAATGTGAGGGTAGAGTCTACCTTGGCATAAAATAATAATAAAACACATACCCGCAGCAATCGGCCGACGAATCTCCGACATCTCCTCAAGCAAAGAACTCTTCAACAAAACCAGGCCACACTACGAAAGTGCACTCAAACAAAGCGGACACAGCGAAAAACTAACCTACACCGAACGCAAGAAACCTGAAACTCGCAACCGCAAGAGCAGACAAAGAAACATGATTTGGTTTAATCCGCCCTACAGCATGGACGTGTTAACAAACATCGGCAGAGAATTTCTGAACCTCGTCGGCAAGCATTTTCCGAAAAATCACCGGTACAACAAGATTTTCAACAAAAACAGCATAAAAGTTAGCTATAGCTGCACTGACAACCTGCAAACCATAATTAAGAAACACAACAAGAAAATCCTAGAGACAAGCAAGACACCCCCTGCAGAAAACAACTGTAACTGCAGGAAAAAAAACGACTGCCCTCTGAAAAACAACTGCCTCACTTCAAGCGTCGTCTACAACTCCAACGTAACAATTAGTAATGATAGTAATTAATACCTTTTCTTTTTCCTTATTCATTCCATTCATGTTAATTGTTGCACGTCTGTTTGCACAATAATTCTTAATAAAGACCTTTATTATTATTATTATTAGGACAAAACTGAAACTGGATGTAAATGACACAACCGGAAAGAATTACATTGGACTAACAGAAGGAACCTTTAAACAACGCTACACGCAGCACAAACTTTCTTTTCGAAACAGAAACTGTTCAAGCAGCACGGAATTATCAAAGTATATCTGGACACTGAAAGACAGCAACACCAGCTTCACAATTAACTGGAGTAAGTTAGCGACCTCCCCGGCCTACAACAACAAAAGCAAGCGCTGCCACTTGTGTCTCACAGAGAAACTTTATCTAATTAGAGCTAAAAAGCCGTCTTCATTAAACAAAAGAACAGAACTTATTTCGAAATGCCGACACGAGAATAAATTTTACTCATCAAATTTTACAAGCCGCCAACAATAGCCCCAGAGAATAGTTATGGATTTATTTATTTCATCGCACCAGCGAATTAATTAACTACTTTATATAAGGAGGTATGTTCTTTATTGAATAAAATTGTCTGACGAACGCTTCGGCGCGAAACTCAGAGTAACAGAGAATCGATGCGTCCTCTTTGATTCTTCAACTAATGTATATATATATATATATATTTATTAATTAAGTCCGCCAGCTCTCTCGAGAATGGCTGATTAACCCGTTCGTTATGCAATTGTAAATGTAATTGGTACATTCCTCTTATTAACCGAGTACTGTAAGTTACGGACCGAGTACAAGGTTCAATAATAGTATTGACGGAGATAACGAGTCTAATAATGTATTTATCATATGTCTGGTTTCAAATACAGAGGTAAGTTCCAGTTCAAACATACTTTTGAATGGTGAAAACTGGCTAATTTGACCAATCGTAGCGCACGTACCAGCTGTATGTGTACTAAGTGGGCAACGCTGGAAATCTCTAATTAGCTTAACACTGTACATAAAATTAGGTGGGCATTAGGATTTGAAGTTTTGCAGTTTGGACTATTTTTTAGATCGGTTTTTCGGCTTTGGTGTTCGTTGTGGATTTTCCGTTATTTAGAAGTTGGTTTTCGGTTTTCGTCAAAAATACTAATGGGTTTTCGGATTTGGTATTCGACATGGGTTTCGGTTTTTCATAGTTGGGTTTCCGGTATCTTTTCGACTTAGCTGCAATGATGCGCCTCCAGTGATCTCCAACAGCCGCGAATCCTCTGTGTCCTCCGCTTGTCACCAATGTTTCTAATCTATTAGGGTTTTGATATCTGGGATGTGAAAAATTATCGGTTTTGCAAGCGGAATTTGGTTTTGATCAATTTTTTTTGTTTTTTTGTTTTTTGTTTTTTTTTTGCGGTCACGCGGTTTTTGATAAGTTTTTTCTACGGTTTTGAGGTTTCTACTAGACCCCAATGACTCCCTCTTAACATGTCACGTACTGATATCGTGCAATTTACTATCAAGTCAGTTCAGCTTGTCAAATGATGGCATGATATTACTTGGATGTATGACCGTAGCACGTGGTACAGTACAGTAGCGTTAAGGCTCGGCAATTTTAAGAGTGTCAACGACACAGCATATCACTTAAAAAAAAAAAAGGATTATGTTTTATCGCAATCATCTGTTCTGTAAAATTTTGATACTGACNTACACGACCGAAGACAACTTAGCCGATCACAAAGGAGGATCCAATCACAGATACAGGCTAATTTCAATTAAACAAATTCTGTATACGAGGGAAATATATATATATATATATATATATATATATATATATATATATATATATACTGCACGATAAAGCAATCTGTACGCCGATCAAACACTCCTGCAAGATTCTTCCAGCATTTGAATTAAAAATAAAGTCACCAGATTCGATATACATTTAAATAAAGATATATAGCAAAAATCATTCAGTGTAAGATTGAAAACCACATTCATACTAATATATACTTCTACTCTCAATATAAAGAAATTCTTTGATCACAAGGCATACAGGTATGCCTAAGTTTATTCAACGTATAGTCAAAGAAGGGGACTAGATTTGATATACATTTACATAAAGATATTATGGCACATAAAACAATCTGTATGCTGATAAAACACAACTTAAAGATTCTTCCAGCAATTAAAATTTAGACTTAAAACTTATTCATTGTCATCATCGTCATCGTCATCGTCATCATCATCATCATGATCGTCGTCGTGGTCATCATCATCATCATCACGATCGTCGTCGTGGTCATCATCATCATCATCATCATCATAAGGAAATCAAAATATAAAGGAAAATTGCCTTCACTATAAAGGTCGGTTTCAGTGGGTATCTTCGCAGTGATATTACTACGTAAGTTCCCCACGTCATGTGCATTTTCATCAGAAGCAAAAACGAGTAAAGCTCACGATTACTTTCGTTTTTTAATTCCCACTGCCAAGAAAATTATAAAGTGAGCGGACGCTCACTACACGAACAGTAATGGAAAAGGAATTCAAAACGAAACGCTATCTCTCTCTAAGGCTAAAACACTGAACAACGGGGCCACTGTTCAGATAACTTTAACTTTGGCCAAGCAGGTCCTGGGAAACGCAAAGAATTGACCAGGACACAGCTTGGCATTCTCTTCGGGGTCCACTATTGCGAGCGGAGGTGGCACTTCCCCTTCCTTGTTGTCGACCCATCTAACAAGGACGACATCCACGCCGGCAGGGTGAGTCTGGCCATGCAGGGTCATCCGACCCGGCTGCAGGTAGCCGACCGCCGAGTACTTGTCGTCCACCCGGTAAAATACAACGGACGTTTCTTCAGTCCCGTGTGATCCTACTAAAAAATGCAACAAAAGCACTTGTCAGTATTCTCTAATATAGCGACAACTGCAAAGCAAGTCAAAAGCACATAACTTAAGAAACTTACAAAAAAAAGTGAATCTGACTTTAAAATAGTGAACCAGTTTTCTCCCTGCATAAATTATTCATTCAAAAGGCATCAAAAATTACGTAGAAAACAACACTGTAGCTTTGCTCTTTTGGGATCTGAAGGGCGGATATAGATACAGATTTCAAAAAGCTACATGTTTTATGTTCAGTGACGGTCTTCCTGAAAATACTAACAGTTAAAAGGGTATCGAGCCAGAGAGTAGTGAAAGTTATCCACGATTAATTGAAAATCAATAACAAGTATGATATTATTACAGCAAAAATACTACTCAAAATAAAATGGTATGTTATCTAAAATATAGACTGTCCTTGTCCAATCTTTCATGACCTTATCAGTCTGTACACTTATCTGCAAGTATGTTGGCCGTTATGACATTATTAATATCACTATATAAACTTCCCACTGTGCTCCCTCTTGTGCAATGCTGCTCAAAAAAGTAGAAGAGAGAATACAATTATTATTTAACTTTACAAATGCTATACTCACCTGATTACCCTGCTATTTGCCTCTGTGGCAGGTCTTTAGGGGAGTCTCTAGGCTCTTCCAGGCCGGTGCTTTCCTTAGCTGTAAAGATAAGTTTAGGCCTCAGTAAGATGAAATATACCTGTTGCTATAAAACTAATTACTTTGGGGTATGAATAGTAATAGCTGCCTTCAGGGGACAATGATTGACACCAATTTTGACTTGTGACCGTTTCATTCCACGGAATGATTAATGCGATCAATAAACTATCCACTTTGTCACTCTTCAACACTGCTGCTCGAAGTTGTAGAAGACGAGTATGATGGCAAACAAGAAAAACTATTATTAACATTAAAATGCTTTAGACTCACGTGATTGACCTGTTGTCGACCTTTTTTGTAGAGGCTCTTGAGAGGAGCGACTAGGCTCTTCCAGGGCAGTGCTTTCCTTAGCTGCAAAGGTAAGTCTACGCGTCACAAAGATCATGTTAAATATACCTGTTATTTTAAAACCAATTTATACCTTGGTGTATGAATAGTTATAACTGGCTGCCTTTAGGGAGGCAATAATTTGTCACTCTTCAACACTGTTGCTCAAAGTTGTAGAAGAGTGAGTGGTAAACAAGGAATAAGGATTTTTTACCATTACAAATGTTAGACTCACGTAATTGCCGTGCTGTTGGCCTCTTTCGTGGACGCTCCTTGAGGAGCCTCTGGGCTCTTACTGGTCAGTGCTTTCCTTAGCTGTAAAGGTAAATTCATGCTTCAGTTGGACGCTTTTAAACTAATTTCTTTGGTGTATGAATAGTAATAGCTGCCTTCAGGGGAAGCACCGATTAACAACAAATGTCGACTTGTGACCGTTTCAT